GGAGGGACAGGGAGAGAGAGAAGGATGTGGAAGGACTGGCAATGAAGACATGAAGAAACGGAAGAGTGACAAGTTCTGAAAGAAGCAATTCTAGCGGCCCATGAATTTTCATGGCTACCAGCTGGCATAAAATCATAAAGACAATTTTCAGCTTCTCTAACGGAATTGCAGTGGTAATAATCATAACCATATTTCTACAGTGTAAAAATGACAAAGATAATTTGAAATGGAAAACACTGACAAGATGCAAAATAAATGAGCTATACCTGGCAACAAATTTAGGGCGGACGGAATTTGCATGAGGAAAATTTATATGCCGGCAATCTGTGGGGCATCAAAACTGGAGGGGCTTTTGGAGGTTTGCTTGCTAACTCCTCAGGTAAATCAAAGGAAACGATTCCGGATTAGCCTCTCTCAACAGTGACACCCTTCTCCCTCCCTATTGTCTCTTGGGTGAAACTCATTCCGTCTGCTTTTCATTATCTGCTACACAAATAACAGCTGTGCTAATGCTGAAGCGGCATGTCCAGTCCTCATTTATCCATTTGTAAATGTCTCCGGTGGTCTTCGCAGTTATTACATTCTTTTGTAGATATGCAAGATGGCGAAAACCGGTCATTTCCCACTGAGATGTTTGCCAAATGGATCATCTACTAAGTGTGAGATACCATAGGAGACAGGACTAATGCCTTCCTCTAACTCCATTTATGACCTAAGCATAAGCTTAGATCCAAAGCTTAAACACAATAGTTACAAAGATTAACATAATTGCTGTTGTTGGCTGCTGTTCAGTCCATTCTGACACATAGAGACCTCATGTGACTACAAGTGTCCCATAGGGTTCTCTTTCTTTCTCTCTCTCTCTTTCTTTAGTACAGGAGCAGATATCCAGGACTGTCTTCCACAGAACAGCTGGGTGGGTTTTACCCCAACCTTTTGGTTAGCAGACAAATGCTTAATCATTGCACTACTAGGATACACTAAGCTTAAAAATACTAGTTATAAATAAAAATAAATACAATAACTAGCATTTTTGAAAAGGTTCTATATGACAGATAAAATAGAATAGCTATGATTTACCTGTAATATTACTGTGGTTAAGTGGCTGATAATGTATTTTATTCACATACGACTCCTAACATCCGTTGGGGACTAGTTACTATTTTAACATTGTATGGGTGAGAAGTTTGGAGATCAGGAAGGCTGAGTAACTAAGCTGGAAGAGAAATGATTACACTCGGTACTGCCCTAGCTCAGAGAAGTCATAGCGACCAGTAGAAACAGCTAGGCTGAATGTTGTGTTAGATCCCTCCTTGGCTCCTGTCTCTGAATACATGGGGCTGGGTATTAGTATTCACGATCAATGCTTGTTTATACTCCCACACGGGTGAGTGCTGGACTGGGGTAAACTGGGAGACTTCCTGATGGAGGCGGCCAGGGAGCTGGGTTTGAAGGCACACCAGTAACCAGTTACTATCTGAGTTAATGTCAATTCCAGCTCATGACAACAACACGATGGGGTGGCAGAGTAGAACTGTACTCCATAGGATGTTCAGTACCTGATTTGCCAGAACTACATCTCCAGGTTTTTCTTCTGAGGTGCCTCTAAGCGTAGTGGAAACTTCCATTTTTAGATTAGCACTGAGCGTTAGTCCTACCCAGGGCTCTATTCAGGTACACACAGGTCGAATTCTGACAGAAGATACACTTAGAAAACAACTTAGAGTTCAAAAGTGGTTGTAGCAATATATGGACAAGGAACCGCCAGAAATTCAAGGCGGATTCATCAGAGAACACAGGATGAGGACCATCACTGCTGACGTCAGATAGATCTTGGCTGCAAGCAGAGAAACTAGAACGATGTTTACCTGTGTTTTATTGACTATGTAAAGGCATTTGACTATGTGGATTATAACAAATTATGGATAACATTGAGATGAATGGGAATTACAGAATACTTCATCATTGTGTTCATCTGGAACCTGTATGAAGATTGAGAGGCAGTCATTAAAACAAAGCAAGGGGCTAATGCATGGTTTCAAATAAGAATGGTGTGAGTCAGTGTTGTATCCTTTCACCATACTTATTCAACCTGTATGCCCAGCAAATAATCCAAGGAGTAAACCAAAACAGGATTGGAGGAGACTCCTGAACAACTTGAGATATGCAATGACACACCCTAGCTTACTGAAAGGGAAGAAGACTTGAAGCATGTATCAGTGAAAATCAAAGACTGCAACCTTCAGTATGGCTTCAAGCTCAACATAAAGAAAACAAAAATCCTCAAAACTAGATGATGAGCACCCTAGTCACTTGTATTTGGGTTTAATTACTCAGTAGCTGTGTGACTTAAGGCAAGTTATTCAACATTCCTGATCTCCAAACTTCTCATCAATAAAATGCTATAATACTATTAAGCAACATAAATAGAGAAAATACTGAAAATATCAAGGATTTCATTTTGTTTAGATGCACAATCAACACCCAGAGAAGCAGCATTCAAGAAATCAAACAATGTATTGCACTGAGCAAATTTGATTGCAAAAGATCTCTTTTAAATGTTGAAAAGTAAAGCTGTTGCCTTGAAGAATAAGGTGTATCTGACCCAAGTCATGGTATTTTTAGTGGCCTCATATGTATGTGAGTCCTGGTGTGGTACTGTAGGATAAGCACTGGACTGCTAAACTCAAGGTCCACAGATCAAACTCATCAGCTGCTCTTGGAAATTCTATACAGGGTTTCTGTGAATCAGAACCAACTCAATGGCATATACCAACACCAATGCCACCAACATATGCATGTGAAAGCTGAACACTCAATAGGGGAGACAGTAGATGAACTAATGCATCTTAGTTATAGGCATGGTGAAGAACATTGAGTATACTGGGGACTTCCAGAAGAATGAAAAAACTCTATCTTGTAAGAAGTATAGCCAAAATGTTCCTTAGAAGCAAGAATGGAAAAGCTTCATCTTGTGTACACTTCATCAGAGGGGCTAGTCCCTGGAGAGGGGCATCATGCTTAGCAGAAGAGAAGGTCAGCGAAGGATGAGATGAACTGACATAGGATTACAACACTGGCTGGTCTCAAGACCACAGATCGATTGTGAGGATGGGGCAGGATTGGGCGGTGTTTTGCTCGGTTGCACACAAGGTTGTTATGAGTCAGAAAAGACTCCATGGCACCTAACACAGCAATATTTTCAGTGGGAGAAAACATTTTAAGCCCACTTCTTAGACCATTTTTTAAACTCATGTTCACTTGGAAAATACAATACTTTTATGAACTCTTACCAGCCAGAGATTACATTACAGTTCTGGGGGGAACCCTGCCCTGACCTTGTGAATGGCCATTGTAAAAAAGGAAATAATATGATCAGGGCATGAAGAGGAAGGGTATCGGCAATCCCAGGGTTAGGAACAACCAATTTACGTACAAGGGGCTCATGGAAAAATGCCATTATCTATTAACTCCATTTTCCCCACAAACTTTTTGAAGCTTCCTCAATGGCACTATGGGTTAATGCACTGGACTACAAGATTGGTTTGAACTGCAAGGTGGGCAGTTCAAGCTCACCAGCCGCTCCTTGGAAACCCTATACAGGACCACCTTGGGTGGGTGAAAGTGAAGAGGACTTAAAACATTTACTGATGAAGATTAAAGAGCACAGCCTTCAGTAAGGACTACATCTCAATGTCAAAGAAAACAAAAATCCTCACCACTGGACCAATAAACAACATTCTTATCAACAGAGAAAAGATTGAAGTTGTCAAGGACTTCATTCTTCTTGGATCAACTATCAACACTCACAGAAGCAGCAGTCAAGAGATCAGATGACATATTGCATTAGGCAAATCTGCTTCACAGGAACTTTTTCGAGTGTTGAAGAGCAAAGATGTCAGCTTGAGGACTAAGGTGCGCCTGACCCAAGCCATGCTATTTTCAATAACCTCATATGCATGCGAAAGTTGGACAGTAAATAAGGAGGATCGTAGAAGAATTGATGCCTTTGAATTATGGTGTTGGAGGAGAATACTAAAAGTGCCATGGACTGCCAAAAGATCCAATAGATCTGTTTTGGAAGAAGTGCAGCCAGAGTGCTCCTTAGAGGCCAAGATGGCCAAACTTCATCTCTCATACTTTGGACATATTGTCAGGAGGGAACAGTTGCTGGAAACGGATGTCATGCTTGGTGTAAGATGGAGGGTCTGAGAAAAAGAGGAAGACCCTCAATGAGATGGATTGGCCAGGTGGCAGCATCAGTAGTGAGGTTGGCCCAGGATTGGACAGTGTTTCGTTCTGCTGTGCATAGGGTCGCTATGAGTCGGTGCCGATTCGATGGCACCTAACAACAACATGGGTTGGAAAATGGCACTTAACAATGAGAAAAACATCTAACCTGAAGTTACAAACCACCTCCCACAATAAAGACTGCTATATTAAAAATCTGAAGTACATACTACGGTTTGTAATAACAAATGGATGCTACTTTGTTCCAGACATTAAAGCATTATTATTACTATTAGTGTATTAGTCTACTAAAGAGGTTTTAGTATATCTTGAAGTGTTTCTTTAGTGTTTTTAAGTCTAGAAATGTACATTAGATACTAAGTACAAGCATTTGACTAACTGATGATAGATATGAACCATACGTAATGATTCTGACTAGAGTACACATTTGAATTAAAGAATGACTTAGGAGTGAAACTCATTCATAATCTGGGAACTGCCTGTACAGTCTAACCTGTGAGAGCTGAAATCTACGTAAGGTAGAAACTTGTCAGAGGCTTTTCAACTAACTGAGAGCAATTGAAAAGTGTTAAGACCACACCCTGTCAAAGGCAGAAAACTTGTGAGACCAGTAGAAAAACGAGGCAGTCCCATTGAGTTCTGGCTCTCACACATGTCTCATTGTAAAATATTTCTGGTGGGAAGAAAAAACAAAACAAAAAAAGACTGCCTCCTTTCTTATATTGCCTTTGTTTTTTGTCAATCTTTACCTGAAATAGACTGAATATACTGCACAGCCCAGGCAATCAATACGGACAGCAGGAAGGTCCCCAGGAAGTAGATCTGCAAATATCCGAAAGTGCATGTCACCAGATGACTGGCAAAGAGCAGGGGTCTCAAGGGTAGGACTTGGGGAAGACGGTACCTACCAGGGCAGAGTGCAAGAGGGCGCCCCAGAGAAGCCGCAAGTGAAGGTAAAACCAGGCCAGGGAGCAAGGGCTGAAGGTCTCCTCATTCGTGTGGATCCAGCACCTTCAAACAAAGCACAGGGCATCTTGATATTTCAGCTAAATGGGAAGGCATTACACATGACTGACGTCTGCAGAGCCTCAAACCCACGGTCTTCTGCTTTGGGATAACAGAATGTGCTGGAGGTGAGAAGTGAAGCCAGGAAGTCAGTTCTCTGCAGTTCAGGCCTGAGCTGACTCAAATCCCAGCAGCCTCAGTCCCTGACTTACCTAGGACACTGGATGGTGCGAGGAGTTTACGATTGGCTGTTAACTGATCGGTGGCAGTTGGAACACAGCCAGACACTGCAGGAAAAAACGGCTGTCGAACTGCTTCCATAAAGATGAAAAAACAAACAAAAGCCAACTCTGTTGCCATCAAATCAACTCGGACTCATACAATGGAGGAAAAGTGCGCCAGAGGGTTCTAAGTCTCTAATGGTTACGGAAGCACACTGTCACATGTGTCTCTTGAGGAGTGGCTGGTGGGTTTGAACCGCTGGCCTTTCAGTCAGCAGCCCAACCACTGAACTACTGTACCGCGGGGCTACTTTCTGTAAAGATTACAGAAAGCTCTAATACAGCAGTTCCGTACACGCTACTGACAAGAACGGCTCTATAGGGCTTTCTGCAATTCGAATCTTTTCTGATTACAGAATTCACTCCAAGGTGACACTTTTTTAGCTCCCTTTTGGCTGAAAAAAAAATCAGCAGTCTTGCTACACAGCACAACATACATGAACCCTGAAAACGTAATGTTGAGTGAAACAAAGTCAGTCACGAAAGGTCCAATATGGTGCCATCTCATTAATCTGCAATACGGACACCAGGCCAATGTATAGGAATCAGAGTCTGACTGTGGTTGCCAGAAGTGGGAGGAGGGAGGGAATTATTGTTTAAGAAGCATTGAATTTCTGTCTCTGGTGATGGGAAATTTGGCAATGGATATTGGTGACGGTTGTACAGTCTGATGAATTGATAGGCTTGGTCTCACTGAACTGTCCACATGAATGATGGTGAACATGCCAAGGCTGCGTTATCTATAATTTTATAACAACAAGAAGAAAACTGAGTAGGTCAAGGAGGACTCCTTAGAGTACAGAGGCAGCCAGTTCCCACATCTGTCTAAAGTCCAGATGTTGAAACATCTCCCCTCTTTCAGAAAAGCAAACTCTAATCCGATACAGTATGTTTTCCACTCTTGTAGAAACACTTGGCCAGCACTTACACTTCAGCTCCAGCATGCTGTAGATTAAGCCTCACATACTAGAGAAGGGAAATAAATGTGAGTCTGACTGAGTATTAATAGAAGCAAATCCTCTGGCCTCTTAAAAAAAAAAGCAACAATAATAACTTGCAAAACAATTACAAAATAAGGGTAAGGTTAACCTTAACCAAGTATCAAATACCACCCTGTCAGACTCCCTCGGATTCCACACTGTGGGACGCTGTGAGCTTACCTTTCATACAATTCCCGGGTGACGGAGAAATTCTTAGAGTGGATGGTTGCATTAATTTCCAGCAAGTCCAATATATGGTGTGGGATTATAGCACCTTCTTCAGTTAGCAGTGCCAGGTTAAAAAATCCCTAAAGCAAGTCACAAACCAAGTTCATTAGTTCTCCACAATAAACCCAGACACGCACCTGTCATCCAATGTAAACTTTTACAAGCTCTCTCTAATTTTTTTTTTTTTTTAGTCCCTTGAGGCAGATGGCTTTGTCATCTTCATTGATGAATCGTTTCCCTAAATATATCCATTTGCAGGAGAACCAGGAGGCTTTCAGAAGATGCTGGGCCCCATCTGCTTAGAAACCAGTGAACCGGGGATCTCTCCCTTCCTGCTCACTCTCATTGTAGAACCTTCTGGGAAGCATGTCTCTAGTGTCAGCCAGAAGCCAGGATACCAAGGCAAAACAACACCCTGAACTCACAGACAATGACACCAGGCTAGGGACCACCGTGAGCATGTTGGAGATCCGACTCAATGTTTTTGTCATTTGGGGTGTATGTGTGTGTGGGAGTGGTCATTCTAATACAATAGCTCCTTTATGTGCACAAGAACATACAAGCACTTGTCTCCACTTCCTGTGACCAGTGTGGAAACCTAGCTGACCATTCGTCTGTCATTTTGTTGGATTGTGTGTTGTTGAGATGCTGGAAGCTGTGCTATCCCATTGTAGTCATCCATGATGAGCAGGTTTCAGAAGAACTACTGGACTAACACAGACTAGGAAGGAGGACCTGGGGATTGACTTGCATAAAAAAAATGGGCCAGTGACAACCTGATGAATTGCAGTGGAACACTGTGACAGAGTGCTGGAAGGAAGCTGAGCCACTCAGGTTAGAAGACACTCCAAATATGTCTGGGGGAAGAGCTGACTCTTCAAAGTACAATTGACCTTAAAAACTTTTGGGACTTTCATTTACTGACATGGCACGACTAAAGAGGAGAAGAAACAGCTGCAAACATCCATTACTAATTGGAACATGGAATATAAGAAGTAAGAATCTAGAAAAATCTGAAGTCATCAAAAATGAAATCGAACATATAAAGACAGAAATTTTAGCCACTAGTGAACTGAAATGAACCGAATCTGGCCTTTTGAATCAGACAGTCATTTGGTTCATTATGCCAGGAGTAACAAACTATTGTCATACTCATGGTGCCACACGTGAACAGACTATTTCAAGCTCGATCTTGAGGTACAAAGCTATCAATGATAAGATAATACCAATATGACTGTAAAGGAATCCTGGTGTGGCGCTGCAGGATAATGTACTGGATTGCACGGTCAGTTTGAACCATGAAATGTTTTTGAACCACAAGGTCAGAAGTTCAAATCCCCCAGCTGCTCCTCAGAAACCCTATATAGTGTTGCTATGGGTCAGAACCAACTCAACAGCACTTAACAACAACATAAAGGAAGACTAGCTAATATTACTATTATTCACATTTACACATCAATCACTAATGCTAAAGAGGAAGAAACTGAAGATTCCTACCAACTTCTTCATTCTGAAATTGATCAAACATGCAATCAAGATACATTGGTAATGCCTGGTGATTGGAAAGTGAAAGTTGGAAACAAAGAAGGATCGGTAGTTGGAAAGTATGGCCTTCAAGACAGAAATGATGCTGGAGCTCACACAATAGAATTTTGTCTGGCCAATGACTTATTCATTGCAAATACCTTTTTCAACAACATAAATGACAACTTAACACAGGCATCTGAATAGAATACACAGAAATCAAATCGGCTACATCTCTGGAAAGAGATAATGGAGAAGCTCAAAATTATCACCAGGGTTGACTGGGGAACAGACCATTAATCGCTCATACGCAAGTTCAAGTTAAAACTGAAGAAAATTAAAACAAGGTCTCTGAGAACCAAAGTAAGTAAGACCTTGAATATATTCCACCTAAATTTAAAGACCATTTCAGAATAGATTTGACTCATTGAAGATTAGTGACCGAAGACCAGACGAGTACTGGGATGACATCAAGATCAAAATACATGAAGAAAACAAAAGGTCATTAAAAAGGAAAGAAAGAAAAGGCAAAAATGAATGTCAGAGGAGAGTGTGAAATGTGCTCTTGAACACAGAATAGCTAAAGCAAATGAAAGAAATGCTGGCATAAAGGAGCTAAACTTAAGTCATTAAAATAAAAAAAAAACTTCATAAAAATTTGAAGTCTCTAATAAATAGACTAACAAGATTAAAATAAAAGAGAAGATTGCTGTTTTTGTTGTTAAGTGCCGTGGAGTTGGTTCTGATGAGCGAGTGGTGAGTTTGAACCACTGACCTTGCAGTTCCAACTGACCTGATAGCCGAGTGCTTATCTTATAGTGCCATAGTAGAGAACTGTTTTTATGAAATGTAATGCATATAAAAAACCTTTTTCTTAATGTAAGGAATTTATATGCATTACATTAAAACATGTATCAAAATTCCAACAGATAAATGGACAAAGAACAAGGATAGAAATTCACATAAAAGGAAATATGAAAAATTAATTGTTATAAACAAGAATAAGAATTTTCAGCTTTATTAATCAATGCAATTTAAAACAATAAGCATCAAGTTGCAGTTATTCAATGACAATACAGTAGTATGGTGCATTATTTAATGTCTCTGCTAGCCTTTGTCTTTGTAACTCACACCAAATGACTTCTCCTGATGGGTCTGACTAAGAGACCATGGAAGAAGACTCTGAAAGGATAATAGGACTCAGTTGTGAATGATTGTTAACAGGGGTAATTGTGATTGTACAAACTTGGAACTCTAGCATGGCTACAAAATGAGCCATCTCCGGGACAGGAGGGAGGATCTCATTATCATCAAAGAGACAAGAGTGCAGTGTGTCCTTTGGCCCCTCAGAGCCCTGTGCATTGAGCCTTCTTCACCCAGAAAGCTGGGACACCAGAGGACTGCCAGAAAAGCAGCAGTGGCAACACAGCCAAAAGCCAGAGTAAAAGCAGCAGTGGTGAGCATCACAGCCTACAGAGTAAGTAAAGTGAAGTGACTTTGGGCAGTGGGGAGCCTCCAGGCACTTAATTGCAGAAATCATTTGACAATCTGATTTATATCACATGCAAGTAAAATTTTACTAACGAGCATTCATAAACAGCTGCAACAGTACATTGACAGGAATTTGCCAGAGGTTCGAGCCAGATTCAGATGAAGACGAGGCATGAGGGATATCACTGCTGACATTAGATGCATCTTGGCTGAAAGCAGAGAATACCAGAAAGATGTTTACCTGTGCTTTATTGACCATTACAAAGGCTGTGTGGATCATAAACTATGGGTAACATTGCGGGGAGAGTGTGTATTCTAGAACATTTAATTGTCCTCATGAGGAACCTGTACATAGACCAAGAAGCAGTTGTTTGAACAGAACAAGGGACACCAAATGGTTTAAAATTAGGAAAGGTGTGCTAGGGTTGTATTCTTTCATCATACTTATTCATCTGTACATTGAACAAATAATCTGGGAAGCTGGATTCTATGAAGAAGAACATGGCATCAAGATTTATGGAAGGTGAAGAGCAACTTAGACATTGGCTACCTAAAATGGGGGATGGGGGGGTGGCGTAATAAGGCATGAATTGGCTGGTTTACAAGTTTTCAAGAGGGAGTTTAGTTTCAGAGTGTGTGGGGGAAGGTTGCATCCCCAATGAATACTTTTCATCTTGTCTAGATGGCTCTGGTGAAAGGAGATGGGGATAAGATTCTTATGATTCAATAGTGAGTAATTATTATCACGACTAATTGCAACTGTCACAACTGTAAAGGTAGAAGTTTTGTAACATAAAGTGGGAAGTAGGTAATTATACATTCTAGGAGCAGAGGACCCTAGGACCATCAAGGGAGAAAAGCACGAGTGAAATGTGGGACCCTATCCAGAGAAGCAGCGACACCAAAGATGGAGGCAGAGATGAGGACATGGAGAGAGAGAGCAGCTGAGGACTCTAGAACTCTTGGAAAGAGAAAGGCTGTGTGCTAGCGGCCAGGAGACAGGCTTGCAGAATGTGCCATTTTTTTGTTTAAATGATTATATATTCCTGAGCATTTTGGTGCACATCCCTCTCCCACCCCAAAACAAAAACAACAACAAAGAGCAGAGCGAATAGAAGCAGATACTGTTGAATGATGATGCATGGAGGAGACGGTAATCATTGCAATGAAACAAGAGTAAAACCAATGTTCTCCCACGTAAACTAACACTCAATTCACAACAACCTTGCTTGCTGAAAGTGAAGAGGACTGAAAATATTTACTGGAGATCAAAAACCACAACCTTCAGTATGGGTTGCACCTCGATGTAAAGAAAACAAAAATCCTCACAACTGGACCAATAAATAACATCATGATAAATGAAGAAAAGATTGAAGTTATCAAAGGCCTCATTTTGCTTGGATCCACTTATTCCAACACTCATTGGAAGCAACAGTTAATAAATCAAATGATGCATTGCATTAGGCAAGTCTGCTTCAAAAGACCTCTTCAAAGTGTTGAAGAGCAGAGATGTCAGCTTGAGGACTATGGTGCATCTGACCCAAGCCATGGTATTTTCAATAACCTCATATGCATGTGAAACTTGAACAGTGAATAAGGAAGACCATAAAAGAATGGATGCATTTGAGTTCTGGTATTGGAGAAGATTATTAAACGTACCATGGACTGCCAGAACACACAAATCTGCATTGGAAGTACAACCAGAATGCTCCTTAGAAACCCA